TCTTTGTTGTTACCATCGTATCTCTCAGCTTGTTCGTTTAGTCTCGCCAAGTACACAAACTTCTCTCTCTCCTTCTCCATCTTCTCTCTTCGATCTTTCGTTTCTGATCGAGAAAAAACTACAAGTCACGATATTAAAGAAAAATTTTGCCGGTTGGGGTTTCAGACAAGGTAGAAGACAAAAGAATCAACGGCTGAGAATAATCGTGTGATAGTGGAAACCCTCAATTACTTACAATGACCAACTATCAACCGTTGGATTAGACTTTTGTGTGCCCCACCACGCCTCTTTTCATTAAAGTCGTCGTCGTGCGAACAAATCACACGTCTTCAAAACCTTCTTTTTTACTCAGAAGCTTTACCTTCTTCTTCTTTTTCTCCCGCCATTTAATATATAATCACCATAAATTAGGGTTTACGAGCTCTTATAATCTTCTCCGCTCTGGGTTATCATCATCAATTTCTTCCTCCAGGTGACGAATCTTATTTTTTTTCTCATAAATTAGGGTTTAGAAGCTTTAAGATTTTCAGAAATGGCTGATGAAGATGAGGCTCTCTCTCAATTTGACATATCGAAGGAGGTAAAGTTTGGGGATTTTGATTTTCGATTCTATATATTTCGTGGGTTTTTGTTTTTGTTGAAGGATTTGATCTGGGTAATTAGGAAACGGATAAGCTTGTCTCAGAGGTGATTAGATTCGTACTTTTCAAGTCGCATCAGAACTCAGGATGCCCAATTAAGCGAGAAGATTTGACTCAGATTGTTACTAAGAACTATCGCCAACGTAACCTCGCTACCTACGTGATCAACGAAGCTAAGAGTAAGCTCTCGAACGTGTTTGGTTATGATTTGAAAGAGCTTCAACGCTCTAGGTCTTCTTCTACTGGTCAATCAAGGCTTCCTCAGTCACAGAGTAAGACATTGTTTCATTAAGTGCCTTAAGTTTTTATGAAACGGTGCTTAGATTGAGATTAAATTGTTGTTGTTGTATTGATTTAGGTTCTGTTGACTCTAAATCATATGTGCTCGTAAGTCAATTACCAATCGAAATGTTTAGGAAACACGTCGTTGGAGAAACTACGACACCTATGACTGGCTTCACATTTGCAATTCTTGCTATTGTTCAACTTGCAGGAGGTAAAATGCCTGAAGGTATGTACTCTGTGTACTATTATCCCATCTCTTAAAGACAATTCTTTTTGGTTTCGATGCGATGTTGTTCTATGCGCTTGTCCTGCCTTTGTCCAATCTACGGACATTCTGTGAAAAGTGAAAGGAATTTAAGCACTTGCTGACTTAGTATGAGACCTTTGAGAGTCTGTGGTTTCAAGAATTTGTTTGTTGACATCTTTCCTCTTGCATCTACTCTTAGAAACCCTTTGGCATCATTTGAAACGAATGGGACTGCACGAAAATGATGAGCATAATCCTGTGTTTGGGAACAACAAGCAGGTCCTGGAGACCTTAGTCCAACAAAGGTGAGCCTTTCTTTTAAACTCTGTAAGGAACAAAGACTTAGGGCGCAGATGGTTTTCATCGAAACGCATTGGTCATTTGGACAGGTTCTTGCAGAAGGAGAAAGTAAATGGCCCAGAGGGTAGTACTCTGTTTTATGATCTTGCCGAGAGAGCGTTAGATCCACAAGTTAGCCAGAAAGTAAAAGATTATATCTCACAGGTACTACATGAAGAATATACATCTTCTTTGTGGAATCTCAAATCATTTATTCAGCTTTGGCTAAGATTTGGCTTTTGTGAAATGCAGATCCTGAAGAATGATGTCTCAGTTGTAGATATTGACTAGTGGAAGATTTAGCCTTGTAGACTAGTCAAACAGATTAGTGCAAGTCTTAGACTCGTGTATTTTGTAGTATTTGCCTTGATTAGTCAATGTTATATGTGAAGCTGCTTGACAAAACAAGTTTGAGGCAAAGATCAATTCTGATATAATATTAACTAAAAAATTATGAATTGACTTATAATCTTGTCTGATACCATGCATATACACTTCAGCTACTAAATATAAATTAAGCCCTCTCCAAATTTGTTGGTCCAGAGGAACTGCTGATTATACAGGAAAGAGGCAAAACTTTAACCTGAAAAGCTGTGACAGGTGGCTGAAACAGCCAAACATTTAGCTGACCACATTTGCTATGTTGTAGAATTTTGAAGTCATTGAGAAGCTGAACTTCGTCTGTTTGATGAGCTTGAATCCCCGATTGAGACAGTGGCCAAAGAGGCCCATGCTCTGGCGTTCATGGCTCCTCCTTGCAGATTGCTCCTCTTGCAAGGCTCTTTAAGATGCATGCATAATTGTACAGCTCGGCTCAGAAACCCGACGGTCTGTTCTAGCAGGCTTTCCAGTCTCATGTTCTGAGCAATCCCTCTCCAAGTGAATTTCATAAACACAACGAGTGTAGGGAAAATCAAGTGAAGCAATCTCAGCAAGACGAATACAATGGCAAGAGTAAGATAGGTCTCTTGGCGAAGCATATTCTCAGGTGATCTTGCCCATGTGAAGGGGCAGTTCTCTGGCTCAGTGTTGTATTGGTTCCCAAGATGAGGAACTGAAACGCTTCTCTCGAGAGAAGTTTTATCCAGCTTTTCGATGCCTACAAATTTCAAAGTTAGTTCCATTGGTTTAGCCGTCAAAAACATCATAAACAACTAATAGCAACAATGTGTATCTCTTTGCACACAAATTAACTCTTTTGTAACTTCTCTCCTATCCTCATCCCCGAAAACAATCACTATGCACATCAAGGCAAGCAAAAGCACAAAAGAGACTACAGCTGTAAGAACAAATGCCTTACCGGTAACATCGCTGTAGAAAGAAACAAGAGAATCAAGCATTCTGGTCCCTCGGTATCGTGCCCGCATGGTTGAATTCAAAACTAATAGAGTAGGAAACCCATGAACTCCATACTTTGAGAGGGTGCTGCACAAGAACAAGTGAATCAAAAGGTCATCAGAACAGACAAAATAGAGCAGCTAGTTTCACATCAGGTTAAAAGATTAAGGCTCTTCATTAACCCACCTCGGCTTGACGGATGATTCCTTAATTGCAAAGTGAGGAATGGAAGAGTAGAGAGAAGCAATGACATCGAAGCTTGGTCTAAATGATCTTGAGAATGGACACCATGATGCATAGAAGAGTAAAGCAACATAGTCACATTTTTCCTTATGAATCATATCCAAAGCAATTTGCAACCAAAGCTCATCACCCTTCACAAAT